CCCAAGTAGCTGGGACTACAGGCGCCCGCCACAGCGCCTGGCCATTTTTTGATTGCAGCCATCATTGTTGTTTGGCGGACCTGGACTGGGGATTCGAACCCAGCACCTTAGGTGTATGTGGCTGGCGCCTTAGCTGCTTGAGCCACAGGCGCGGAGCCAAGATTAAGGGTTTTAAATGGATTATCAGATTATCCAGCTGGGTCCATTGTAATTGCTGGGTATTTTTTTTTTTTTGAGACAGAGTCTCACTATGTCACCTTCAGTAGAATGTTGTGGCGTCACAACTTGCAGCAACCTCAAACTCTTGGGCTTAAGCGATCCTCTTGCCTCAGCCTCCCAATGATAAGTGCCCATCACAACACCCGGCTATTTTTTGGTTGAAGTTGTCATTGTTGTTTAGCAGGCCTGAGCCAGGTTCGAACCCGCCACCTTCTGTGTATGTGGCCCGCGCCCTACGCATTGAGCTACAGGCACCAATCCTAATTACTGGGTCTTTATAAGAGGGAGGCAGAATATTGGAAGAGAAGGCAATAGGATGATGCAAGCAGAGATTGGAGTGATACACTTTGAGGATGGAGAACTGCGAGGATGGAGAAATGCAAGGATTGCAGCTCTAGAAACTGAAAAGGCCAAGAAAATGGACTTTCTGCCTGGAGCCTCCATAAGGAATCAGCTCTACTTACTCCTTGACTTCAATTCAGTGAAACTGATCCTGGATTTACGACCTCCAGAATTGTAAGAGAATAAATTTTTGCTTTAATCCACCAAAATTTTGGCAATTTGGTATAGCTTCAACAGGAAAATAGTAATACCCAACTTTGATCAGGGGACCTCTCTTTAAACTGGTTATTTAATATGTATACTATGTATGATAAGGTGTTTCAGGCTCATCTTGTACATTTTCTGCCCCAGACCTGAAATGAACAATTTCTCCAAGGAGTCCTCTTTCCTTTTACTGTGAAATGGTATTTTAAGACCATGAGGGATGTTCATGAGTTTTTGCTTTTTTTTTTTTTGAGACAGAGCCTCAAGCTGTCCTCCTGGGTAGAGTGCAATGGCATCACAGCTCACAGCAACCTCCAACTCCTGGGCTCAAGCGAGTCTCCTGCCTCAGCCTCCCAAGTAGCTGGGACCACAGGCGCCCGCCACAAAGCCCGGCTAGTTTTTGGTTGCAGCCGTCGTTGTTTGGTGGGCCGGGCTGGATTCAAACCTGCCACCTTAGGTGTATGTGGCTGGCACCTTAGCCACTTGAGCCACAGGTGCCAAGCCGAGTTTTTGCCTTTTTAAAAATAATTTTCTTAATTTTATTTTTAATTGTGATAAAACACATGTAACATTAAATTTATCATCTTAACCAATTTTAAGTGTGTAGTTCAGTAGTGTTAACTACATTTTCATTATTTCAACAGCTCTGTGGAACTTTTTCATCTTCTCAACCTGAAACTCTGCTCATGGAGCAACTTTCCATTTGCTCCTCTGCCCTTGGAGTTTTTCCTTTTTTTAAAATGGGAAGCCAGGTATGATGGCTCCTGCCTACAGTCTCAGCTACTTTGGAGGCTAAGGCAGAAGGATCATTTGTGCTCAGGAATTGAAGGCTGTAGTGTGCTCTGGTCACACCTGTGAATAGCCACTGTACTCCAGCTTGGGTGATACAGCAAAACCTTATCTTGAAAGAAGGGGAAAGTAGCACAGTTCTACTGTAAAACTTTTACCAACATATGATTATTTTCCTTTTATTTTTATTTATTTATTTTTGAGACAGAGTCTCAAGCAGTTGCCCTGGGTAGAGTGCTGTGGCATCATAGCTTACAACAACCTGCAACTCTTGGGCTCAAGTGATCCTCTTGCCTCAATTTTTCTGTTTTTAGTAGAGATGGGGGTCTCACTTTTCCTCAGGCTGGTCTTGAACTTGTGAACTCAAGCTATCCACCTGCCTGGGCCTCCCAGAGTGCTAAGATTACAGGCCTGAGCCCCCGTGCCCAGCTGATTATTTTCCTTTTAAGTATACAGATCTTAGGCCACAACTCCATGGCATCTTTGCCTGTTAACCCTAAACTATAGCCTATGAAGGACTTTTTTTAGCAAAGCATCTAAAGAAATGGCTGTTTTTTTTAAAATGGAAAGAGAGTTTTGGAATGAAATATATGCCACAGTAAAATAATGACATTTCATTATTAGGACTCAAGATATTCTCCAGCTCTGGTTTGTTGTAGGTGAATGGATTCTCAAGACAGGGCCTCTGCCCATAGTGCAGAACTCCAGTGCAGGCGCCTCATTTGGGATCCCATCTGTCCATGTTCTGTCCTGTGGCTAAACTTGTTACTGGGCAGAAATAGTTTCCATGAGACAGTTCAGTTCAGATCTGAGGTCCAGCTCTATGAGCCATGAGAAATTTTTGTCTTTTTTTTTTTTTTTTTTTTT